GAAAGCATTCATGATATATGTATATATATATATATAATATACGTAATGACAGGGCTACATCTCTGTTACCATTGGTGTATTCATATTAAGAAATGCAGTCAAAACCCTAATAAGTTATCAAAAGGTTTATTAAAAGATACGCTGGTGGTTATAACAGTTCACATCCGCCCTCCTCAAGGGAGGGGGTGTGGACGTAACTCCGGATGGTTCCGTCAGATGTTTTGTGGAACACGTTATTCAGCAAGAGACATGCGAAAACCTTCGCTCCCGCATTAAATAGTACAGAGATTGGTGTAATTAGGTTACAGTCGTGCATGCCATTGTAATTCTACGCACTATGGAAAATCATTTAATGCTTCCTAATATGGAAGTGAAAGAGGGACAAGATTCTAAAAATAACTCCTCCTTTCAAATATAAATCTAATTATTATTCAATGGTATGTTTTCAGCCTTGAATTCCCAAAATAGAATAGCTCTACGCTTACTCTTTAGCAAAGACATTTTATGAAGCCGAAAGAGTTTTAATTCTTTTATTAATACAAAAGTATATCTTTGCAATGCTGTTAACTTGGTGCTATTTACATGCATAGCTGTTAATCTTGCATAAATGTTTCAATTCTGTACTTCAATTACGTATATTTTAAATCTATAATTAAATCTATTATGAGAGTTATTCTATTCCTGTTCTAAAAATTTATAATACCCACACATATCAAATAAAAAAATATTTTGTGTGTGTTTTACTTGTGAAGAAATAACTAAGATTAAGCATGAAAAATACCAGAAAGCTTATAATTTTTTGTTGTTATCATTCTGTCTATTTTCTCCTCTTTTAAATAGACTTACTTTCGTTTTGTGAACGGTTGGCAGGTGGTTTCCGTGTCGCCCAATTGGTACGAATCGCTCGACTTCCAATCCATTGACCATTCATAGTACCTATTGCATTTTCAGCATCCTGAAAAAAATGAACACAGTTTGAACAAATTGTTAAATATATTTTTGAAGTACTTTCGTCTAGAAAAAAAGCCTGTCCTAAACTTGAAAGCAGAGCATATTTTGTTTTTAATAAAATATATATTGGACATACGGAATTCACAGACATAAACAATGTTTTCAGCAAATATCTATGTGGTAGCCAAACTCGGCCTAGATGTGTATCGTGCGCTACTGTGAGCACAGCATTTGTTTAGCAGATCAATTAGAGTTGGAGATGTGCGGAACCCTTTTTTAATGAAGGCAAATAGCGTGAGAAAATTTGTTAATGTTTTGTCATCTTACTGACAACTAACGGCCTATTGGCTTAACTACAGTGGTGGTAAAAAAGATCCTTTTCATTAGTGTGTAGACTTTTCATAGTTTTAGTTTAAAAGTTATCATTGGTAATACTCATTCATATAAGCTTCTTTTTAATAAAAACTTAATTCAAATTTTACTGAAAATGCAATAAAATTGTTTTAAATGAACTTTTCTGCAGGTTTACTTAAAAATAAATTGGTTTCTAATTTTTAAAATAAAAGCTACCTTCCAAAAATGCATTATTATTATAAAAATGAAACTTATTACTAAAATTTAACGCGTGCTTAATAAAATTTTAACTAATGGTTTCTAATGACTAAAAGTTTTCTAGATCGTGAACATACAACATTTAGAAAGAACACTTGGGTTGGCATTGCTTATTTGGTACATTTTGTGAGGGTGAGATGAGCCATGAATTTTGCTTCCAAAAAAAAAAAAAGTGAAAAATGCCAATCTACAGACGTAGATGAAGGTGGTTAAGAACTCTAATGCTCAATAGGTGGTAGTTTGAGTCGATGCAGTACATAGATTTTTGTTGACTATGGCAGAAATTAAAAAAAGTAAATAATGGAAAATGTCTGATTGATAGGTGGTAGTTTGAGTAGATGCAGTACATAGATTTTTGTTGACTATGGCAGAAATTAAAAAAAGTAAATAATGGAAAATGTCTGATTGATAGGTGGTAGTTTGAGTAGATGCAGTACATAGATTTTTGTTGACTATGGCAGAAATTAAAAATAAAATAATAGAAAATGTCTGATAGATGACAAGTGCGTATGTATCATAATCACATTAAACTTTTATTTCGTTGCAGACCTCGAGGTGCAAAATAAAATGAATATTCTATCCAAGTGACAATTCATGTAATTTTATATGATACGAATAAGAACAAGTCATGGGAGATATATCTCCCAATTAAAAGTAGTTAATTAACGCCATTAGAGACGCGATATCTCACGTTAATATTTAAATAATTTGGCTGAAAATTTAAGGCCAAAAAGTTCGCTTTAAATTATAGTGAACCTAATAACGCTAATTAACGCCATTAGAGAAGCGATATCTCACGTTAATATTTAAATAATTCACGTTAATAATTATATAATTTTAATATAAAAATAGATTTTGATGCTCGTCACATTGAATAATGATTAGTTATAAACTTGCATTGAAATAAAAAGTCAGCATTTATCGAGGATATAAATATTTGCGTTCGCTCTTTGTAAAATTGAATTAAAACTATTGACTGATTAATTTATTTAAAGAAGGATTAAAGTTATTAAATAAAGGAAATTTTAAAAGCTAGGATATGCCTCTAATGGCATCATAATAACAATGTGATAGATCCACATTTCCATAATTGTATATGAACTGAAAGCAGCTCAATGGATTCCGTAAACCTGATTCACAAAAAGGATGTAAAAAGTAATAAAGATGCAGTAAATCAAGAAGAAGAATTATTATTTTTTTGGATTTGGGTTCCGACTACGTAACTTATTTGGACTGTATCCTTTTAGTCTGTTGAACAGGTTTTTTAGAGCAAATTTTCAACAATATATTTTAAATATTCTTTGATTTCTTTAATATTTCAATATTAAATTCGTATTTTCAATATAATTAATTGCGATCACGTATCTAAAGAATTGCTTGTCTTTTATTTTATGAACGTGAAATTTTCATTAATTAAATGTATTTTAAGTAATATGTACACATGTTTTTTTCAGCTAAATCAAAACAGTAACTTTATAAAAAACACCTATGTATGAATAATAAAATATCAAAATTTATATTATGACTTAAATAACTATAAGCTATGCAAATTATGATAACTACATATTATAACTTCATTACTTATTATACATCATAATACTGAGTATACTGGGTTTTCAAATTCAATTACATTTGTTTCGGTGCTATTATGAGTTTGTGACATAACCAAAATTAATACAATCTTGCTCTATTTAGCAGAAACCCTTTTTTACAGTGATGTATTAAAGATTTAAATAAAAAACAATAAATAAGATCTGCCATATCCAGCCACCGTAAGAAGACAATAGAGAGTTAGATCATTTTGGCGTGAAGAATTTTTTCTCGCCTACTATAAATTTCTTTAATGGGTTTCAACGTAAATTTATTTTATTTAAACTAATAAAGTTGTACTATGATTTTGCTTTCAGTTCCATTCTTCGATGATTTTATTCGACTTTCATCGTCAACAAAACCAGATAAAACTGCTATAAAGTCAAACTAATAGCTTAATTATAAATTAACTCAAATATCAGTTTTATTTTTACATTTTTTCCAATCTTACTTTTTAGTTAACTTTGTCGTTTTCTATATTTTATAATTTTAAATTTTTTTGCATGAAATAAAAATAAAGCACTTGTGTTATTATATCATATTGACTTTGATTCTGATTCACGACATTCTAATTAAAATTGTAATTCACATTCTAATTAAAAATAAAACATAATTAACTATTCGAAACAAATATAACTTTCATCTTGTCTCGATATGGGGTGTTTTACTTTGCATTTACTACAGATATTCTTAATATTCACAGTCTAGTACTTTATTTTAATAATTTTGTGCTAAATTATAAGCATTTCAAGAGGTAATCTCAATTCTTTCACATATTTCTTTGTATAGTTAAAGATAAAAGATAATTTAAATAAAAAGTTGAATGGAACAAAAAGTTGAATTTAAATAAAAAGTTTATCAAATCATCTTTGCATATTGTCATTATGGAATTCGCTAGCATTATAAAAATTTAAAAAAAAAGGAAAACGTATAAATATTCTAATTTATAATAATTTTTTAATAATGATCACTTGAAGTGATCTAACTATAATTGACAGTATATAAATAAGTAACTATTTAATCGTTTCATAAATTAATCTACTAAATAAATATTTTAATTATTTAGTAACGTAATTTATCAAGAATTACAGAAAAGAATTACAATGAATTTGTAAAATTAATAAATTTGGTATAATGTTCTTCCCCAACTGAATTTATAGCTGCAGCTTTAGTTAAGTAATTATTTACAGAGAAGTTGCTTTCTCTCCCATAAGGAACTCTCATGCTGTGGCGCCCTCTATTTTCATTTTGTTCTACTAAGTAAATAAATATTCTGACTTTTTTCCCTTCCTTTCTTTTTCAAAGTAAACTAACAATATAATTTGTTTTTGTGTAAAACAGTAGGTTTCAGTTTCCTTTGCAAAATTTACTGTTCACATTGTCTGGTCTTATTTTCAAAGTAAATATTTTTTTTTTCCTTGAAAAGCATATTTTTCTCAAATTTGTTGTTAAGAATTATATTGGTACTAATTTTCTTTGACCTCTTATCTTATTTTGATGTAGATAATTCGATTAGATGTATTTTATTTTGATGTAGATGTTTTAGATTTTGATGTAAATGATGAATATGCAGATTTAAATCACATTAGCTTTGTTCTTGAAATTCGCTATTTATTTGTAATAAAAGTTGATGTTGTCCTAAATTATCTAAATTATGCTCATCACGGATATTACTATGGAAATATCATATTGCTTTTTATAAGAAAGTATGTAATTTAATTTTTATTAAGTATGTGTTTATTATTTCTTCGAAATACTTTCACGCATTTAAACTATTGACCACTAATACGCGTAGCTTAGAGATGGTCATTCTGAATAACATTAATTGATTTGAAAAAAAATGTGCATTAATTCACAAATTGTAATGTGCTATACGAATATAATTTCAATCTTACTGAATTTATGCTTTTATTTTAGAATAATTAAAAAAAATATTGTCTAAAGCTAAACACAAATTCATTTATAGATCTTCACACTAGATTAAAAAATAGATTTTATATAAAAATTTATCAAAACTAAATCAGTTATAATTATTAAAAATGCTAACTTTAAAATAACATTTCATTTAACTATCTCTTCTTTTTTAATTGTGCAATTATTCTGACATAATAAAATTTCTTAATACTTAGGTTAGTCTCATTTTTCTTTGGATTACCATTTAGGATTACCTAAAGTTAAATATTTGACAGTTAAAAACTATTATTAAAATTTTTATAAAGTTATATTCTCAAAATGTCTTCAACGTTATTTAAAAACAATTCTTTCATGTTCAATCAAAACATAAAATATCTAGAATAAGCTAACAAACAATTTGCCCTCGCAACTTTTAAATTTCAAAATGTTTTTAAGAGTACTGGAAAGCGTATATGATTTTCATTTATTTTTTTGAAAGTCGCCTTTTAATATTTTAATAGAATATGAAATTAAATTTAATTTTCAGTGCATTGAACAATCGTAAGAAAACTCTTAAGGTGTCATTCTAATTCAGAATACTGAGAAACACCTTTCGAAAAAACTTCATTGCCAAAAAAAGTGACTCTCAGTTTCTTAATATTTTATAAACACTTCAGTTCTGGCTTTTTAGACCGACAGATATTTTATTTACCACGAATTTCGGTAAATGATGTAAAATTCGTTTTTGTAAATAACAATATACATGATTAAATTGAACGAAAAACCTTATCTTTTTCACTCAATAAGTACAAAATAAATTCAAACGATGGTATAGCAATTTGGTTCTTTTTCATAAAGCCAGTTTAAACAAGCGATATAAAATACAAGGTATTGCTTTGAGTATGTTGTTTATAGCAGAAATAAATCTCCACAATGAAAATATAAGCGTTTAGTACATCATTTTGTAGAACGAGCGGTAACAATTTTATTCTATTCCAATCTCGAAGCAGTTCAACACTTATTGTGTTTGAGGTATGTTATATGATTTGTTGAAACGCAATAAATGGGGACGAAAAAAGGATAAATAAACGGCTTGAGTACTAACAATAAATGCGAACTTAGGGCTAAAAAACACTCAACAAATGCATAAAAATGCATTCAACTTAAATTGCCCCTTTAAAACTTCTTTTTTCCACTTTTATTTATTTATTTTATCTTTAGAGATGAAAAAATTGAATTTGGCTATTTATAGGATACATATATTTTTAAATCACTACCTCTGAAAAAATGCTTTTCGTTAATTGAAAAAAACTTTTAATATTTATCTTTCAAAATATTTTAAAAGTCTTTTTTAAATTTTATTAGCTACTTTAAGGAGTTTAATGTTCGTATATACATAATATGCATACATCTTTCAAAAATAAATTTCAATTACTTTTCATACAACTTTCGTATAACTAAAGTTATTATATTTCGACTAATATAGAGTCTGTATTGATTGACAGACATAAATGAAATTTTGTATATATGGTATATGGACTACAGAAGAAGAAATCTGCAATAAAAATAGTTCTAAGTTCTATCACTACTTGAGAAAAAGTAACACAAAAAGCGAAAAAACAAAATCCAAATTGTAGAAGAAACACTTTAACACCATGTGCAAATAATTTTTGTTGAGCAGAAGTCCAAAAATGCATTTTAGAGAAATTTTTCGCGCCATGATGAGTTCTTCATGATTCCTGCAGAAACATTATGTGCATGATTACGTTCTAATCGGTCCCTTTTTGTTTAAACTGCTGCTATGAATCTATAATAAATCTAGCTCTTTTATTGAGTTACTTGATAAATTCAGGCCCTGAAGACAATTAAGGAGATCATGAAAACAACGCTATGTAGGTGATAACGTAAAAAAAAATACACCACTTTACTAAGCATATTGAACGAAAAAATCCTGCTGTTAAGTGAAAGATAAATCCATTTGTTTTAAGAGAATTCTTCTTAGACACGAGGTGTTTGAACACTACACGTCTTTGCTTTGTGAAAGGTGTTGTAAAATCAAATCTTGATTCAAATTGTGTTTTAGGATCCGTTTATAAATTCCCGCTGATGGCTTGTAAAATGACATCTTGAGGACATTTGATTTAGAAACGATTAATATCCCTCTCTTTTGAAAGACACTGGAGATTAAAGTCATCTGTTTCATTCGTATGACCCATGCAAAACTGCTTTAGATGGGGAAGCCATTTATGTGGTCCTGCCATCTGTAACAGTTGCACTGTTAATTCCACAATTTTACGAAGGCTGTTGTAGATTAAAAAAGCCGAATTTTGCTGTAGACTCTGATACTGCCTTTCCAGGCATATTTTGAGAGTCTCGTGCTGGGACCATCTTGACTTACTAAAGTATTCATCTTGTTGTGGATCCCAGGTTTTGCTGAATACTTCTCTGAGCAAGATTTTTTTTATTCTGCAGACATCGAAGAATGTTTTCTTTCTGACGTTGCCGAGTTTCGCTTACCTACTGGACATCTTAACCTTATTAATATTGTGCTGCATCTTCTGCGACCTTCTGGAGAAGATGGCCGGCACTAAATGGCAACTCTTTGTGCAAACCGGGAAGTAAAAGACATTTCTGTCACTATGTCTGTTCTATTTCTATTTGTTTTATTTTATATTGTTCTCCTTCCAGTTTGTAGTGCTGTGGTCTTCGGTAACATAGGAATCAAGAAAAATGTGAGTTTCATCTGAAAGCCGAAACTTCCTTTCTAATTGTTTTTCTACGAATTTCTACGAATTTAATAATCAACTTTTTCAACTAATTATTATGTAATAGGCAAAATGGTTCAATAATATTAACTACTGGATATTTAAACACTCCAAATTGCAACAGCATTTTTCGTACAGAAAAATGCTGTTAATCTGTCATGATGAGAATCTTTTTTCTTATTACAGATTTCTTTTCCCATGGCATTAACCGTTTTTACTAAGTTTCATCACCCCCCACCAGAACGGACTCCGAGTTGGTTTAAACAGGGTAACTTAAACTAAAAACCATCCGATACTGTACATCACCGCCGCATATCAGTAAGTAATTTGATTCTTGTTTATAACAACGACTACTTAAAGGTAATAAATTATGTCTTAGTTTTGCATGTTTTCTAAGTAAAAAATATGTTTAATTTTTTAAATTTCTTTCCAATATTCACGCGCTTAAAGTATCAAAATCACAGTTTTATCTATAAACTAATTTAAGAAGGAAATTTTAAGGATGAGCGAATTTTTTAAGACTAACTGAGCTTACCTAATATACGAGAATAAATGTGTTTCTTATAGATTTTATATTTTATGAAAATTTGTTATTTATAGATAATTTTTAACACGGTTAATATTATATATGCAGAGAAATTAAGAACGTTTTGAGATAAACTGCTTTCTATGTACCTAACAATAAGTCATTTAAAATGTATACTTTTGTTTCTGCTATCACCGGCACTGAACATCTACAACCAATCTATATTGGATTTATGACAATGCATATTCAACTTCGCAGCTTTGAACACAACCCACAAAATAAGACAATTCCTAAAACCACGGATTGGGTCATATTTGCTTAGTGGAGGTATTATTAGACGAAACTAATCCAAATTTTCATGTTAAAGAGATAAATTATCGAGATGGAAAGATAACTCATTATCCATCTAACAATAGGACTTTTCATTCCAATATGGCCGTAGGGAGACAGGTACAGCCATTGCTGGGAAACTAAATTATTTCTACATTATTCTTCAACAAAACACAAGTTTCTTATTAAAACCAAAGTATTTTTGACAGTTAAAAATAGATGGTTTATCATATTTTCAAATATATACCTTACATTATTGATTACTCTTAATTAAATAATAGTAAATTTATTATTTTATCATGGTTTTTATATCAGTATCTGCTTGAGATAATCTACGTTATTCAAATTCAAAGTTATACTAAAAATATCGCGCTTAAATTCTTGTTTGAGATATATCACGAAACAAAGCATAACAAAATATTTGTATTGAGAAGTTTGGAGAGGAAACGCAAATCCTTTATAGATTAGCCCTACGCCAACGCGATTCATGAACAATCTACCACTGAAGATATTTTTCGTCAGGACTGTGATCGTTGCAGGCCGGGTGCGGAATTTGTTATACATTCTTTCTATCAATATAAACGTTTTTTTCGTTTATTAAAATAAAAACTTCCATCCAAAATTTTTTTTATCAGTTTTTGTTAGCGAATATATTTTTCTGTCCCAAAGGTTTTCACTTTAACAAAGTTCTACCAGAATTGAAATTCTGCACCAAACAAAACATGGTTCAGCCTGATTATTAAGAAGATGATGGAATATAAGGATTTTCAACACAGCATTTATTATTATGAATAGTTTAAGCGTTGATGCAAATATGAATATGGATGTTTCAGACATAAATGAGTGTTTATCAGCCGGGTCTCCGGTTGATGAAATTCTTTTACCAGATCAGGGTAATAACCGTAAAATGGAAATCTAACCGGATAGGTTGAGTACCGGTTACATTCTTTATATATATAGGGGAGAGTCGGGTAGCCCCGCTCACTTAAGGAGTATTGCTTATATTTCTGTATAATACTGAGTAATAATCAACATTTTTGTANTTTTTTCAAGTAAAAACACTTTTCATTTCAATTTTAACGGCGAAGAAATTTTTAAAAAATATTTTTGTGGTTTCTTTTTTCATTGTATAAGTATGGGCTCATTTGTCTTGAATTCATGATGACTATTGTTCACAAACAAGACTGATCAGTCATTATGTGATTCATCACTAAATACGAGGGTAAAAGTATTATTCGTTCCAGACGGTGGATGGATGTGTTAAAGACAAAAAATATATTACGATATTAAAGACACCCTCATAATTACCGCGGTTCAGACATTTCTCATGCCATTTTGTAAATTTCACAAAGCTCTCCAGGAAAAAAAAATCCGGCCTTGCAAGTGTGACCTAAATCACCTTCAGCCGAGATTCTTCTTCAAGGCTGAAAACAGTCTCTGGATTTGCAGTTTATCTTATTAGAACGAATATTATGATTACGGAAATTTCATTTGTTCATAATTATCTTAAATTTTTTCAGCATAAAATATTAATTTGATTTTGTTATATATACGAATGTATGTAAACAAAAGAATTCATTTGAATGTGCTTTGTCTATTTTTTTTATTTTTGTGATTTTAAAGCTGCCACATCAAAACTTTGAATATAAGAATATCAGCAAGCGTTTTTTTAACAGTTCCTTTATGTATAAAAAAATTTGCATCAGTGTGTTTACTCTATTGTTATAATTTCCGTTTTTCAAAAAAGAAAAAAGAGAAAAGGTGGTATATTGAAAAGGCATTGCTTTGTGACTGTTTCTAAGAATTGAACTATTATTACAATATGATATTCTTAGTCTTATAAATAAATATTTATACGAAAAATTAGTTTCAACTTATCGCCTTTTTGACGAATGAAACGAAACCATATTCTTTAGATTCAAGCACAGGCTTTTTTCTTAACTGTTCCTTTATGTATAATCAATTTTACATCATTATGTTTACTCTATTATTACAATTTCCATTTTTCAAAATAAATAAATAAATAAAATAAAGGTAAATAAATAGATAAATAAAAAAGATCGTATTAGAAAAACCACTGTTTTGTGGCTATTTCTAAGAATTAAACTATTATAACAATATGATGATCTTAATTTTATGAATAAATATATATACAAAAAATTATTAAACTTACCGCCTTTTTGACGAATGAAACGAAACCATATCCTTTAGATTTAAGCGTTTGTGGATCCCGCACTACACGGCAGTCTCTGTAAAAAATCAATAATTATTTTATATTTTTTAGCAGATCTAAAATATGGACTTGATAACGCATTTTATAACAAGAGTTTATTCCAATTATAATCAAGTTTTTATTCACAAAGGTAATTTTTGGCTCATTTTCATTTTTCGGTGGCATGCATTTTTATTTTAACACGCTTTCAAGTAAAACATTAATTTATACGACATTATTTAATGAAAAATAATATTTTAAAGAAATTAGTAGAAGGGAAAGATAGCTTAACACTTTTCAGAAATTAAGTCACATTTTAAAATTGTAATAGGACGGTTTAAAAATAGTCATTAAAAGCAATTGATGAAAATGAAACCCGAGCACACTAATAACCGCTGTCCAGAAATTAATATGTCTGTTACCATTCAATTACTTGCATTTTTGAAATTTTCTAATTAAAATTAATAATTGTCAAAACCTTTTACCGTTTTTGTAAGCAGTTAAAACTGTTTAAAAAGAGAAACAATTAACAACAATCATGTTCTATGTTTGAATGATGAATTAAAATCTGTTTAGTCTTATTATGTCCGTAATTACTATTAGTTGTAAAAAACACTATTTATGTGGTTAGGTTCATTTACCCTACACGGAAAAAAATTATAATAAAATTACCTTACCATATAATAATGACATTTCTGGTAAAAAAAAAAAAACAGCATAATTCTGGTTAATAAGACCAAAGTATACGGTATTTAAATCATTCATTTGGTATTTTTTTCTTGCCGGAAATTTTGGTTTTCAAAATTATAGTTGTTACTACCCCATATATAGTAAAAATATGAAATTAAAAAATACATTTTACCGAATAAGGGATTTTTATACGATAGAGTATCATGATAAAATTGTCAAATTTTGACACACATTAAACCATATTATATTGTTAATTTTACCAAATCCTTACCAAAGCTCTTCTCTAAATATTACCGAACCTCTACAAATATTATCTTAGAGTTTAAAACACTTTTTTTTCTCTGTGAATAAGTATTTCAGTTCAAATTATATTAAGTATATTATTAAATTTATGCAGCTTCCTGAGTTTTATTCTTTAAAATACCGTTACCATATCGTATGACATTACAAATTCGATAAGAGATTAAAATTAGTTTTTCTGTTAAAAAATTACATTTACATCTTATAGCACTTGCTAAGAAATATAAACATGGTATCTCTGTTTTTAATATGTAAAGATAATGAAAATTATTATAACAAACTCTTATCTAGCTAGTAGTCCTTACTAGTGGGTTTTAAAATATCAACTAACTATATTAAATAAAGGAAAAATATTTAAATAATGTAGGAGATTTATCGATGTATGAGTATTTTAACAAAATTACTTAATTTTTAATTATAATTTTTTCTTCTCTCCTAGACACCAAATTTCAAAAAATACCTTTTAGAATTAAATGTCTAATAACAACTAAAATAAATTGAGAGTCAACGTTTTAATTTAATGAATTATTTTATAAAATTTATGTTATTGATATTACTTTGTTTTTATCCATTTTTATTAAACACTATAATGTGTTTTAAATTCCCATAGAAAGAGGGAAAATCATTACTTTACCTGTAAAGTTTAGCGATATCTATTTACTTTCTTAAAGTTTGTTTACAATACATATTTATTAAAAGTATAAAAATAAGTCTCAGATTTTTTTTTACATTGTCAGGCATGCTTTTTAGTCATATTTACTAGCACATTTTATTTTCGATGCTTCAAAATACCTATATATATATACTACAGAATATTACAAAATCATAAAAGCTACAACAAAGTTTCTGTAATGGAATTATTAAAACACATGGACATCTTTTTAAGCATGTATTTGTTATTGATTGACATGGATTGCTACCTGAGGTCAAAATATTTATTAAACATTTAAGAAAATCGGAAACGTTTTTTTCCCCTCTAAAATGCAGAAAGTTTACTTTTTTGTAATATTTAATAATACATTCATTTATGCTCCTGATGTGCTAAAATGCCTGCAAATACCGCGAAAGTTGCAAAAAAATCGAAACTACTTCAAAATTTCTACAACTGAATTATCAAAAAACATCTTTATAAACATGCATTTGTTAGCTTAGAAAATGCGTGCTTTGTGAGGAAAATTTAAAACGTATATTAAATCAGAAACTTTTTTATTTAAACCATTTATGTTTTTGAATGTGTCTTGTTGTTTTTTCTAATGCCACTTCCCAATTCAGCAAATCTGCTTGGTGAAACCACGCGAAGTTAAAGCAAATGGTACGTTTGTTTTGTCAGTGGCGCCATCTATGGCAAAGAATACGAATTCAGCCAGGCATATGTCCCAGCCCGTTATATGAGGTGGACACATTCATACATCCATTTATTCATCCACACATTGACTTGAACCAGAGATCAATTAATCTCTAATTCAGTACCCCCAGAGGCATGATTTGTTATGGGAACACGGAGGACTTTGTGACACAACAAATTTAATGTGCATCAGTCACCATTACTTACACCAGGGAGTCTTCGGCCTGTGGAGATCGAACTCACGACCTCTTGGAGATAGGCCCAATATTCTATCAACCAGACTATGTGTAAATAGATTAAAACATTGCAGAAACATTTAATACGTTTCTGATAACTCATGTACTTTTAGAACATTGGTACAATATTAAACTTTATGAAGTGTTAATTTTTAAACTTTAAAAGTGTTAATTTATGTTATATTTCTTTGAGTCAATTTATATTTCCTTGTGTCAATTTATATTATATTTTTATTCACGTTGAACTATGCTATGATGAAACAAATTTTAAGGAGCAAGGTTCAATATATGTTCTAATATGAACGGTATTATGGTTCATTACGGTTTAAAATTTGTAACACCGTTAAGATCTTTGCAAGCATGCTTTAAGAAGGATGTGGTGATATAAAAACATCTTGAAAAACTCTACGTATAAAATAAAACGAAATCAGTCATCAAAATTGAGTTTAAATTACGGAAATATCTCAAGTAAAGAAGAAACAAAGATACGAAATAAGCAGAGCTCATCAATTTAATGTGAAGGATTAGTGTTTTTATGGTATCAAAGTTTGAATTGTAATAAGTAACCACATTACTGATTCATGTAATGTGCATGAAGATTGATTCAAATATCTAAAAAGCTTCCCTTGGAAAAATGCGTGCATTCAAAGTTCTTATCTACATTTTGCAATCACACTTCCAATTTTGCAGGTGCATCCTCACAAAGATATTTACATCTCGCTTCTTTGGAGTACGTGAAAAAGGTTAAGGAATGGGTGGAAAATATTTAAAAAAATCTCGGTTCCATTTAAATTTTTCTCCCAACTACGAAAAGAAAATATAAAACATGTAACGTTTGAAGATAAAATATCACCTTAGACCTTGGCCTAAGATGAGAAAGAACGAATTTCTAATGATTACAACCCTCACCGAAAGAGATTTTACTTCAAAAACACGTTCGTTAAAACAAGAATGAAACGATATGGAACCAAGCTCAGAATTCGTAAAATAAGGGTTGAATTTTTTAACGTCCCTTATCTTTGCTTTTCCTGCACACAATTCTGGAATTTCTTCTGTCTTTATTTTTCCGTCGGGAAATTGCCAGGGAAGTTATTTATTATTTTTTTTTTGTAAAACTCACCCAAAGCCGAAACAACCAATAAATAGTTTAGTTGTATGGTTTTGTTAAAAAATTTGTTACAGTGATATAGAAAAATTAAAAAATAAATAAATCAAGATTAATTTATTATTATTTTTTAAATCTAAGATTCAGAAGAACTTCTTAAGAAATAATGGAATCTATTCAAAACCTAAAATAAAATATATTTGGAAAGTTGAGATTTGCAATTAAATAAAGAAATAAATAACAAGAAAAAACTCAGCCAACTTTTATAAAACTCACTCAAAGCCAAAACAACCAATAAATTATTTAGTTGTATGGTTTTGCTAAAAAAAAATTTTAAGTGAAAAATAAAAAAGTAAATAAATCAAGATTAATTTATAATTTTTTTTTAAAATTCTAAGATTCAGAAGAGCTTCTTCAGAAATAATGAAATCTATTCAAAACCTAAAATAAAATCTATTTAAAAAGTTGAGATTTACAAGTAAATAAATAACAAGAAAAAGCAGAAAAAAAAGATTTTAATCTAAAAGAAATATACAGTAAGTTCAGTGGAAAAGTCAAGCAAAAATGTTAAAGTTATGAGCTATGTAATATAATTTAAAAACTATAAGGAATGACGGTTACTTAAAAGTTGAAAAATTTTAAAACAACGGAGAAAAAATACTTGAAAACTCTAACAAGAACTCTTGAATGCAAAATAATCTATTTTGCATTTCGTGACAAAAAGATGAAAGGTAACTTATTTAAAATTCGGACCTAACTTATTTCGCATACTTACGATTACGATTCGAAAAAATCTTATAGAAAATAAGACACAAATGACAACACATGAGTTAAATCGCAAAACAATAAAAAATAGGCTGTCAATATTTTGTGTAAAGTAGCATTTTTTAAAAATAAAATAAGCATGATATTCAAAAGCTTAGATTATCAAAAAGAAAACAGAAAAAAATTCCAAAAATGTGGCACTAATATGCCTCGTAATGTCTGAGAAAAAAATATTTTTATATTAGTAAACATTTCCCCCTTTTGATTAGCAGTTTTAATTAGAATGAAGAACATATAAACATAAAGTCTTTTCTATTACATAAATGATTAATTCCAAAATGCTGGTAAGCAAACGTTACAACTTAAAACTCATCTAAAATAGTTTATATAGTTAGTCGGTATACAATGTTTCCTACTTGATCTTCCATTTCAAATTAAGAACACGAAATTAACGTATAGATGTACAATCAACAAGAATGAGTGACTTCGGCTATTGAAATTAAACGTAAAAAAAAAATTCATTTTGATTTTAAAATAAAATACAATAAAAAACAATTGTAATAGAAATTATTCAAGAAAATGAGTATGATTTCTTA